ATGCTTACATAAATTATCCTTATATGTTTAAAAAATGTGCCTGACAACATAAAAATAATTAATTAATGAAGTAAGACTCTAGTTTAGAGCATTCTCTGACCAGCCCAGTACTCAAGAACCTACTTGTCATCAAGGATGACAATAAGGTTAGCTTCATCATCATCATGGTGCCTTAGCCACTGCATTCATGCAAAACTTGCAGAAATGTTTGGTTTTGGATGTTATACACATTTGCTTGCGAGTAAAGGAACCTGGTAAGGTAACAGTAAGATGTCAGTATGGCTGTAAATCACCTACCTTTGGCTCCTCCTAACGTAGCAAGATTGAAGGCTTCGTGGTAAGACAAAGGAACGTAGTCGCTATCTGTACCCTTCCCAAAAAATATGTGAATTGAAGTTTGTAGTGCACAGCGAATAGCATTCAGGATGGAAGTACTGTACCCACCAGAAACATCTAGGTGCAGAAAAATCAGCTGTCATTTAAAACATATGTCTTAGCTTTTTAAAAAATGTAGTATTTGTAATGGCATAGTATGGCTGTTACAGGCAGAGAGAAAAACCAACAAGTCAGTAGTACCTTTTTATCTGAAAACTATATGAAGTGTCAGTCAGGAAATCATCAACATTTACAAATTCATGAAGTGAGAAGCAGAAGGAAAAATTATTTAAACATGAATAATTAAGGTACATGGGTAATCTGCCAGCTCATATTCTATTTAATGTATAGAAAAAGAATGAAGTTCCTTTCTTTAAGCGAGATCTCACTTTGTGCAATATTATTACTGCCATGACAGACTCAACTTCCCTTGAAGTGACTGTACATGCACCACTCCTGCTCTGACTGGCAAGTACTCTTAGCTTTTTCAGTCACTAAGATCAAACTCCCAAATCAGCAAAGCATGTTACACAGAGAGTCTGTATCATGTTTTTGTCTGTCTTACATGAGACTTGCAGCAGTCGTCAACCTTTCAGAATCTGTGTTCTTCAGCATTAAAAATGTTACCTGTGCCCAGCCCAACCTTGATGCCGGCATTCAGCAATCTACGAACGTCACAGAGGCCACTCTTGAGTGAAGTATTTGAGTTTGGACAATGTGAAATGGCTGTACCGCGAGCAGCCAGAACTTTCAGTTCATCATCACTGAGATGTACGCCATGGGCTAACACTGTCTGCAACGTTCAATGTAAGCAAGTCTTAAAACTTTGTTACTAAAAGTGAACAAACTGGTTTAATTGGAGATTTTTGTTAAATCTGATAATTATATTACCTTGTTTGTGAGTAGTCCAGCTGTGTCATATACGTCTGTATAGTTTTTGCATTCAGGGTACATTTTCTGTACTGCTACAACTTCACCTGTGTTCTCAGAAATATGAGTCTGTAATACAAATGATGGAAAAGATCTGAAAAAGTTTTAAAAGGTATAAGGTATGAACATAATTTTATAATATCCATTCTGTTATAGGTTTTAAGTAGTAGTAAACAACTATTGGGGTTCATGGGAATTTAACTAAAGGACTAAAAAATATTTGGTAACAATGTCAGCAAAGCACTCGATAGATTCTATACACTAAAACAGCCATAATAGGATCACAAATAATAAGGAAAGAGCCACAATCAGAAGCCTGAGTCGTCGTAGTCACCATTGGTTCAAGAGAAGTATCAGTAAGAGAAAAAACCTGTGATAAGAGAGCAAATATTTGTAACAACTTTTAATGTTGATCAAATAATTCTGTATTTAAGTGGGGCATGTCAGAGAGTAAGAACAACTTCAAATTGTCAATAATGACACACTGTAATCAATCTACTTAGCCTATTTTTACTCTGTAATGAAGTATGGAATATTTGGAGGGGGGGGGAGAATTCATATAACAGCAGATTATATTTGCTTTGAAAAATAAAATCATAAGAATTATGGCTGGTACCAAACCAATAAATTTGTACAGAAGTCTACTTAAGAAACTAGAATTTCTACCTCTTCCTCATGAATATATATTTTCATTCATGAACATCATCATAAATAACATAGAAATTTTTCAGACATATTCAACTATACACAGCGTTAACACAAGGAATAATAACCATCATAGACAAATTCCCAACCTTTTATGTTTTCAGAACAGAGCTCACATCAAAACCTTCAACAGTCTTAACAGGAAAGATTTAAAATAGCATTAAAATGATACGTAAATACAAACACCTTTTATTGTGTGACTAATTCTTACAGTTTAAAGAGGACTCTTAATCACTTTCGGGGTTGCTGTAGTTATGTATTATAAATCATCATCATTAACATTTCTGGTGTATAGCAATGAACTGAGTGTGATATTTTAATATTATTATGTCAACCTCTGTCATTTGTGAAACCCAATTAATATTTCAAATTGTACTCATCTGTATGTTTTATATTTTATACTTTATTCCTTATCCAAGAGTCAGCCAAACTTCTGTATGCATGGAATGTGTGTGTGTGTAGACACTTTTGAGATGTATACCCCCTCCCCCTCATACTCTGTAGCATCTTAACCCCCTTATAAGCTCCAGCTACTTAAAAAAAAACTTAACCTAACCTAAAGCATTCTGATCCAAACCTGCAGTTGACCTGTTTACTTACTTGTGTGCTTGTTTTCATAGTACATATGACAATAGAAATTTACCTGAATGTGTGCATTGTACTTGGTAGCAAGTTCACCCAGAAGAATCATGAGCTTCATGTCACAACTTAGTGCAAATCTTGGTGTTATGATTGGCTGGACAAGTTCATTCTGCAATATACATATGCATGAAATTTAGTAGAAACATACAAAATCACAGAGCAACAAAACTCATTCCATGAAATTAGGTACCAGATTTATCATTGACATGTGCTTAATACTCTGGTCATTCAAAATGTATATTGCAGATTGGAATTTAAAATTATTTTCGTCAGGTATTCAAAACAAATACTTTAAATACAACTGTACACTCTTTAAGGCAGTTCAGATGGAATTAAAAATCAGTTTTGTATACAAAGAGGCTCTAATGAACAAAATTTGATCAAGGAAAAGTAAATAGTACATTTTAAGAAAAAAATTGGAGTATTCTAAATTTTCCAAAACTTAAAAAAAATTCTGGAAAGAATACAATGAAAGCTTCTTTCAGGGGCTTTAAGCTAAGAAAATAAGCTAAATAGAGTTACTGATTCTGTCAGTAATTATACTATCAACAACCTTTAGTGAAATTGGTCACTTTAAAAATATTCACATCCTAACTATATACATTACACACTAAATCTCTGTTACGCTTGAAAATCATTTTCCAGAAGTCATTTCAGTATTTCATCACGATGCTCTGAATGTTTTCAAGTAATTCAAAATGACACTTCCTAGAATATTTTTAGTTTTGATACGAAAGGGACACGAGGTTAAATCAAGTGAGCACCATTGATCTTTTACTGGAATGCCACACACCAAATTTTGTAACATCTGTCACCAGGCAGTTAGGTTAGGTTTGTATGACATTAATGGCTCAAACACACAAGTCACGACGGTAATCTCGTAAGCCTATTTTCTTTCTGAAGAAAGAAAATTGGACTGTAAAAGGAGAAAGGAAATGAACATGCATTGGCCAATTAAGCATTTAGTCAATTCTGAAAAAGCTGTAATTGAGATCTATGTAAGAAGGTAAGTAGAGTCATGATTTTCTGAACTTTGGTTATCTTACATTCCGTTTTATCTGACGTGCCATGTCTGAATACTCCATTTTATCAAGTCAATTCAGCATGTGGAATGAATCACAGTGCACTACAACACACCTTCTACAGTTTATATACTCGGTTGCTACAGACTGGCACTGGCCTGACCTTAAAAAAAATAAACTCTTTCATTTTCAAATTTACATTATTTTAAATGCTGTTTTTGTTTGTGAGATTTTTTCATTTGGTGCCATATTTTCTTCATAATATAATATCACAATTTGAGTTGAAATTTTCAGTTACCTGACCATCCTTTGGTTTTGTTTAGGTTGGTTAATTGGGATTCTACTGTACCTTTAAAATAAAAGAAAGAAATTCACTGTAGAGTCTTCTAAGCATCACACTACCTGTACAATGACTGCAGACCATAAAGAAAAGCCTGAATTCTCAAGAGGAGAAAATTTGTTCACTAAGTATTATTACAATTTATGTTCCTTAAACATTAAAATTACAATGAAGTATTTTAAAAAGGGTTCAGCTTTGATGGGTTTTTTTACAAGATACATATTTCTCTTTTTACAGATTTCCAATTCTAATGATGTCAAATTTATAATAATAAATTAAACATTCTTTAGAGCTGTGACCTTACCCTCTTGCCTTGAATGTCCCTGATGTACTGTTCTGTACAAATGAAAGAATCATATGTGTCTTCCCCATATCCCTCTGGAGTATCATGGTTCATGTTCACCTTTCCAATGAATGCTCGTTGCCCCAGACGCTCCACACTATCTGCCAGGAATAATGAGCTGTCATAATGAAGTGTCGCAAAGTACGCTGCTGTTGTGGTACCATTGGTAAGTGTTTTGTTCTGGAAATAGTACAAATAAAGCAACACAGGGAAAGTATTTGTGTATGTAACTAATAAAATGCTTAATCTACTAAACCTGACATTTCAAGCCATGTCACTTCATTGAAAGTCATTTTATTAAGTATCATATCAGATTTTTATCTTTCAAAACTTTATAGTGGTCAGATTTAGAGAAAGAATGGACCAGGAAGGATTAAGTGGACTGCATGATGTTGAGATGATGATGAAAGAAATGGACAAGAACGATACAAACATTAATAGCAATAATGGAGAAGCGTGAATGAAATATGTTGTTTAGAAGAAATACTTCAGAAGTCAGTAAGAGTGGATAATTTTAAGTGATTTGAAAAGCAATACCAAGGAGAGGAACATGGGAATTATCACAAAGTGACCCACTAAAATGCCAGCAGACTGCAGACACTGAAACATAAGAAATAGAAATAGCTTTTTGAAGCTTACACCCACCAATTCAAAATGTCTTTGGTCAATGATGGTGAAGATGTTGATGATTACAGTAACAATGATATGCTACAATGACTTTCAGGCTAGGAAGTCCACCTTCAGATGTGTAATTTCTTAAGCAACACACACAGTACAGTATAGTATAACACGCAATGTACAGAGAATGACAAACGATTCCTTTGTGATGTAATTTTTTGAAAGGAAACCATTTATAAAATTCTTCGACGGTAAAGAAACTATTTTTGTTTGAATTCCCCCCCCCCCAAAAAAAAAAACTGTCAGGTTTCCCTGCTGTATTCTGTATATATTATCTACATAGCTTCGGCTATTCATTTTTTCATATTTAAGCATCCACAATTATTCAACAGAACAACATCAATGGACAACAACCCCTACTGCTGCTTTGTATATCTTAAAAAGGTAATTTATGTGTTGTACCAGACAGTACAAATTTCTTCATGATGTATGTCTGTCACCACATTATAAAAGGATATATTATAGACATACACATATGATCACATGACCAAATATTTTTCTTTTCTTAAAACCAATCTGGAACACAATTTTAGAAAGTAGGCTATGGTAATATTTACTGTATGGACTGTCTGAACATGGCAGGCTTTTGTTGTAATAATGATGAACCCTCATATTCTGTAGCAGTAGTTACTGAAATATACTTCATAGCATAAAATAAGTAGGCAATGAACAGTTTTGATGAAACACTGATTTTTTAATTTTTTTCATAACACTATAAAATTCACTTAGGCCTCACTATGACGTGGTCCATGGGATCTGCACTGCAAAATTGTTAAGATATCGTTCTGTATAAAGCACAAAGTCAGGCTAGATTTTGGGACCCATGATCTATTCATGTAAAACCTGATACTGGACTATAATGGATTACATTACAGTAAGGATATTGTATACTTATGTTTATAAAATATCTGAAGTAATTGTCTTCATTGTGTAATTCATGATGTTGACTCACCACAATTGATTCATAAACTTTGGTGGCAAAATCGACATCCATGTATTTCTTTTCTAAAGGAAAAGTGTATGTTGTAAGCCAATCTAGCAGCTGTTTGTCATATCCGAGACCACAGTTTGGATACTGTGGTGCATGAATGTGAGTGTCAATGAAGCCTGGCATTACAAACTCTCCCTCACTAAGATGATGCACACTGTTATCGTCAATTCCATATTTATGCTGAGTTTTTACCAGCTTCTCTGTGCCCTTGCATACAGACACAATCTGCAATCAGCAATCATTCCAATAATCAGGACAAAAAGGAGTTCGTCAGCTAGAGAGAAAAAGGCATTACACTAGCTACACTTCAGAGATCCTTTGGAACAGAACTTTAGTTTCAGTAATGAACAACTAGTACTTGTGAACTTACCCTGCCTCTCACTACTGCAATGAATCCATGTTCAATAATGGTAAGTGAGGTTATGTTCTCAGAGTGTACGATTGAGCCAACTATTATGAAACTTGTAGCATACGCTTTCTGAAAATAAATTCAAGATACAATTAACAAAAGGATCCAAAGGTTTGACATATGAGCATGTTTTATACATTAGGAGATGTGGGAGTAAAAATGGCCATGCAACCTTTTTCCATGTTTTTATGTTCTCCATTATTTTTATACATTTTGAGTACAACCAACACTGGTATAATTAATCATACTTTTTTTTTCGAACACTGAAGAGTCAGTTTTGTATCTGTACTTCTGGCAAACAGGGTGACTAGTCATGCAGGCCACCGTGACCAATCCAACTATTTCCATTGCACCAGTTCAAGTACTGTTCTGTGACTTATAGACTGAAATGAGATGGACTGCTATAGTGTTGCAACCACATGTTTAATCTGACCTAGAGAGGAACATCTTCCAAAGGCAGTGGTAGCTCACCCTGTAGGAATAAGCATGTTTGCTGTTGTTATGGTATGCTATTAAATGATGGAAGCAGTCATGGCCTGATTTAAGACACTATATTGACAATTGCTTTTATGTTTACAATTATTATATATCATGGACTAACAATTCTTTACATATTTTGTTTTTGTAAGAGTGAGGAGAACTACAAAACATCTGTTAAATTAAGAGTGGGAGTTAAGAAACAGGTAAAGCAGATTTTGTACAACAGTAAAAATACCAATGTAAAATTATGTCAATAATCTGTACCAACAGATAAATGAAACATTACAAGAATTCCTATGACCAGTATTCAATTTGTTCAGTACCTAATATTAATTCCAGGGCATGGTGGAGACCAAACATTCACCTCAACTAGTGCCAAGGTTAAAAATGTGCAGAGCCCTACATCCATTCCCCATGTTTTCTAATATATGCTATCAGTTCTACCATGTATATGAGCTGCCAGCCAACACTACTTTTCTTAATTATGAATCTTATTACACAGTTTCTGAACATCACATCTTTCATGTAACTGTGTAGTGCAAAATGTATGTTATACTTACTAAAAGTACTGATAAATGGGTTAATTACCTGATATAAACCACTAGTCATGATGTATCTTTACCATGAATGAAACTTTTCACAAACAGTACACAGAAGTATTATTACTAAATCCAACTTACTGCGTGTCTTAGATACATGTCTAATAGTGTACTCTAGTGGTAGGAACACTGTAACAGCTTGTACAGATTATATTAATCATGAAATACAGACAACCTTGAACCAAGCTTATGATATCTGTTGTAACATTAATTACTCTCTATTGTTTTATCCCTTGAGAATGTGTCCTTTGTAGACCATACACATACTTTAAATGCAGGGTTTCAGTTCAGTTTATTGCTTCCATCTTATCATACATATGTAGGTATAGGAGATGTCAGTCTAAAATACCTATTATACTCACAAATATGCAGGCACTAACACTTTCATATACTGCAGTAATTTAAAATAAATAAAAAAAATAATAAAGCAATTAGTGTAAAGTATTTAGAGTACTAAAAAGTATAAAATATAGCCTATTAATTTGCAAAACCACCTTTGTATATTAATTTATTGTATGTAAGATTTGTTACAGAATAAATTACTTTTAATTACATTTAAAACATGTGGGTCATTTATATTTTTATACCACTTGGCAGTTTACTATAACATTTTATACCAATGCTCCGAGCAAACTCTTTTTACCAGATTTGTTATGCAGAATTTAGTACACAATTTTTGTTATCTAATACTGAATTCACATATACATCCTCTTTAAAGTTTTAATCAGGATTTATTCTTGGAAACTTTGTATCAGTGATATATTTTATGTTTTAACACTGTGTTAAATTTTAGGTTTTAATGGATATATTTTTTAAGGGTGAAATCTAGGAGGCTGTAATGGTCTGAGTTTCAGGCTAGAGATAGGTGAGATAAAGAATTAATACAGAATTTTGGTGGTAAACTACCTGGAAAATGATCAATTGGAAGACAGAGAGCAAACAGGATAGCATTATTATGGGTCTCAGGAAGATCCTAACCAATTTAACTAATTCCACATGATTTCAATCCCTTCAGTGTAATAAATGTAAAAAGAAAGTTGTCACTGTGCTTAAGCTCAAAACCATGAAGATGTATGGGGATCGGAGGTGCTTCAAGCATTCTTAACCTTGCTACTAAGTACAGGTTCACAGGCATATTGCCTGAAATATTTTCTTCCAGTTATCACTGTAAGGAAGGTAATCTAAATGTTAAGAGGCGTGTAAGGAAACAGGAACACTGTTTCTTGTATATAAGCTTATCTAGTTGACCACATCCTTCTTACAGATATAAGAATGAAAACAGGAACAAATATTCAAGCAAGCAAATTTTAGTCAAATATATAAAACCAAACCTAGTGATTGTTGTAGCAGCTACATACACTTGAAAAAATGTACACAGAAATTTCAAATGCCTGAGTAATTTAGTACTTTTTGTGCTTTCCATTTATATTCCTTTCAGCAGCTCCAAAAAACAAGACGATATTCAGAGCTCTGGTTTAAAAAACACAAATTGCTTACTCTGACTAAATATCAAAGGGAAAATTTAATTTCATCTTTAGGATGACATACATCACAAACAATTAAATAATGGTGTCATTATACCTGCTATTAGTGATTCTATGCCAATTAGAAAAAGGTATGATTTAGTCGAAAGTCAATTCTTCAAAGGCATATTTCTGCCGATCAGTAGGAATCTGAATGTCTATACTCATGCCTGTTTGAGGATACGGACAGGTCATTGTCATGTCATAGTCACTACAATGTAAGTCTAGGGGTTTTCCGAATAGAGGGCTTTAAAATTTTCAAGGTCATTTGAACGTTATTTTTTGATACCCATATTTCTGGCGATGAGCGGGAATCTGAGTGATAATATTCATGTCAGTTTGAGTAGTATTATTTAAAATAGCTGAGAATTATATATCTCTGTTAGAAGGGGAAAATAAACGTTTGTACAGTATCCTTCGTGACAGAACCCGAGCCGGAAGTTGCGTATGCGAATGGTGATTTTGCTTGATTGTGTGGTAGAACAGAGGCGCAAAACGTAGTGTTTTTGTTGTTGTATATAAGTTTAATTGGGATTTCATACCAAGTATTTTAAGGGAGATGACAGATTCGGCAAACAAACCGAAAGTAGATTTGGGCCTTCTTGAAGAAGATGATGAATTTGAAGAATTTCCAGCAGAAGGTGAAATAAGTTCTTTCATAATGTATATACCCCAGTCAAACCCCGTAGTAACACGAAGTTTGAGAAGAATAATATCCTTAAGTTTCAAGTTTATTTTAGATATATAATTTAAAGTGTGTCACTTACATTTAGCACGTTGTTGTCTCGTGCTTTGGTTATATTCAGTGTTTTTTTTTCTATTAAAAATGGTGACTGTGCTTTGAGGTTATGCCTTTTTTTAACGTTGATAGAGTTTACTTAAAACAGGTGATGGATGCCTTCAGAGGAAAACGCTTGTTATAATTATTGTGACTATTTTAAAGTTACTTTTCTAACCTACCCATTCACCCAAACCTTTCATTAAAATTGGACAGCTGGTTATTAGGAACTTATTTTATTTTCCAGGAACAATCTGCTAAGTTTTGTTTATGTAAATGGTTGCTAATTTTCAGATTGGGCTGGAAAGGATGAGGATGAAGAAGACATAAGTGTTTGGGAAGACAACTGGGATGATGATAATGTAGAGGATGACTTCAGTATGCAGTTGAGGTATTCTGTTATGTTTTCTAGAAAAGCAGGCAGTATCATGCAAAACCACATAGCATGTTCACACATGATTTCCCATTTGTTATTCTAAATAGAATACAATTAATTTACATTCCACAGATCCTTCATAGGCCTAAGCCAAGAATGTAGAACGTCATAGCACAAATACAATATTTTTTCTAGTACAAATATAAAATATATAGTTGTGACAGTAATTTACAGTTCATGAGTGATGTGACAGTTCTTAAGCAAAGCATATTGAGTTTAGTTTAGGGATAATATATAGAATATGTTTTCCAGTATAAGTTATTGTCAATTTGTAGACCAAGAAATTTTGTTGTTTCTACTTTTTCAATTGTTTAATCCTCATACCCTACACATAGCTTAACAAATTTTTTTGTTGGTAATGCAAAATTTCATGAAATTTGTTTTGTCAAAATTTAATGTAAGTTTGTTGGCTTTAATCCATTTGTTCAACCTAACTAAAATGTAATTCATGCAACTTTGGAAACAGTTAATTTCTGGGTGTGAAATAGTAATATTAGTTTTATCCACAAGAAGTATGGGTTTATGCTGACAGTAAGTCATTGATACATATATAGTGTGTGTGTGTGTGTGGAAGGGCAGAGGACGAAGTATTGAACCTTGAGGAACTCCATGTTTATAATGTTGAAACTTGCTGTTACTGAATCTGGTGATTTTATTTCTACTTCTTCTTCCTTCCACGTTACTTTCAGTTCATTATCGTCTAACCATGCTATCATTCAACATTACACAGTCTAAGCAATTGAAGATATCATTAAATAAACCAGTAATATTTAAATAATGTTCTTCCTCATTTTGTTAGCCTTTGTGTTACTCATTTCAGGGAACTCAAAATCCATTCAGTAATTCTCACATCAGTGACACAACACTTCTATCCACAAAGTAACTCACAGTAGAATATTACGATAAAATAGCCACAGCCGCATTCTCGTACATTTCTCCTGATTCAGTATTGATGTCAGTATCCTATTTCTTATCCAGTTCAACATAGCAAATGCAGGTGACATTATCATAAAATATATGAGTAGTATAGTAATCGTATAATACATTTTTTTTATATATCTGTGGCTGTGTCCTTGATGGACCTTGGCCCCCTCATACATGGAAGGTTTTTTGATCTATTCAGACATTCGATTTGATAGGATAAGATAGTATAATATAAATATTAACCAGTTTGTTGTGAAGGGGTGAAATGAAGGGTGTAAGTTAATGCACAAGAATGTAAAATGGGAAAATTAAGGAAGTATAAACCATGTAATCATCGTTTCAGTCTGAGATTTACGTAATTTGAGGAACTGAGTACATGTGATTACATAATCAAATCACAAAGAACAGAGCATAGCTCTGAACTGTAGCTCGACCAAAGGAATTTCTGAATTTGTCGTGGAGTTGTATTTTGTATGAGCTTTGTGGTACTTATGGTGCTGTGTAACATATTTTAATACTATATGTGTATGGTACTGAAAAGCAGTATATTTTATTTTAATCATGACTACTGGCTCAGTCAGTATAGTGACTAGCTACGGGCTGGACGACCGGGGTTCGATCCCCGAGGGGGGCAGAGGATTTTTCCTCTAGCCTCTGCGTCCAGACAGGCTCTGGGGCCCACCCAGCCTCCTCTACAGTGGGTACCGGGGTTCTTTCCTGGGGGTAAAGCCGGCCGGGGCGTGATGCTGACCACTCACCCCCACCTAGTACCGAGGTCAAGGAAGAGAGGAGCTATACCTCCACTCCCCCCAAACGCCTACATGGCGTATAGTGGGACAAACTTTACTTTTTGCTGGGTTTCATTTCTTGGATAATGTTCTTGAGAAGTAGCCACTGTTGAGAGGGAAGAAGATTTTACAATTATTTCCACTCTCTTCTATACAACTTTTCTAGCATGCTAATCGCAAGAGAAGTACGAGAAGATTTTAAGTCACTGCTCTCCTCTATCTCAGTTTTCAGCTGAAATTTTTAAACTTAAGTATTGAAAGAATGTGCACTGAATAAATTTATTGACAGTGTAATTGTTTATCATAATTGCAATGCAGCAGTCCATTATGTTTGGTATTCTGCAGTTTAGTGTTCATGATGCAGTATGGGAAAAGTGAAGAAGCTGTTCTACTCCTGCAGTATGAAAAATAGTGTGTCTTTGTGTTTTGTGACGCACCATTGGTTAGTGGTCTTTTTTATTTTTAGTTACCTGAGCCATTTTTTGTACATGTAACTGGCAGTGATCTGTTTAGTATGTAATCGAGTACAGGAATTACAAACTGGTGTCGTCCTCAGCCACTTCAGATACTATAAAGTATTCATAGACATCGCATGTAATTAACGTAAAGTATCCGTCCATTATAGTATCCAAAGCTTCATCATTCATGCAAGAAAACAATTTATGGAACCTTCATGGCCATTTATTGTTTGTAGTACCTGTGAACATGTATAAACACTGCTTCTGTAATGTGTGTTTGTCAATTTGCTAATTTTTATTTATTTTTTTCAGGGCTGAGCTTGAAAAGCAGGGGGTTAAAGTGGATTCATGAATTTGGAATATCTTCAGCAACTTACGAAATGTTTGAATTAAAAGTATTAATTTATAAAAGCTTGTAAAATTCTATTGTGAGAAATAAGTAAACAATAAATCAATAAACAATTATATATATGTTGTTGTTTACAAAAACAATACAAAATAATATGCTTTAATTATAGGTCCCAGCAGATCTCAGTATAGGAATGTTTCGTTTCAACATGAATACATTAAGCCCATGGTTGTGAAGAACACATGAAAGTATGGTCACTTCACTTGACGTCCAGCAACATACACCTTGGTGATGTTGCGATCATCACCAGTGTACAGGAACTTCTGCACCAATGCATCAGTATCATACTTCTGTAGAATGTCAGTTGAACCTGGGCTCTTCATGTTAACAATCAACGCATCAAAATCTTTCCCAACTTCAAAATTTCCAATTTTATCACCCAGAGCAACAGCTGAAACAGAGAAAACATCTAATTCTGTTTACATCTGGAACTGACTACAAGCTTTAAAGGAAGGCCTGAAACATTTCTCTGACATTTGTTATGAAGGCATACAAGAATCTTCACTTCATTTATTCGAGCCAGCCGAAGTGTTGCAGAAGGGTATAACTTATTCTTCTCTGTAGGATTTTAGGTTTTCACAGCAGTGAGTATGAAGATTTCCGTCTTCTGGGTTGTTGCGCTGATGACGGAGGCAGTATGTCCTCTGAAACGTTGG